AGAGATGGGAGAGATGATTCTTTGTTTAATCCAGTGTACTGTTAGCACTCCTGTACTCATTGTGACTGCTGTGTGTTTACAAGCTTTGCTGGGTACAGGCAGAAAGGTGGATTGGGGAGAAGTGCAGCTCCAGGTGCAGTTTTGGGTGATGGAATTGGCCTGTAAAGGAACAAGTCACTGCAGGAGGAACTCACATGGAAGCTGGAGCTTTCCATCTCATGGGCTGCACAGCTGCTGTGCCAGGTCAGACATTTCAGTGGGAATGGAGAAGCAGAAGTACAGAACTTTCATTCACAATACACATATTCCATGTGAGACAAGTGCACAGCCTGTTGATTTCAATGCTTCATCTCTTTTCCCACTCTAGGAGCACAAAGCCAGTTCCATCACGCTCTCTAGATTAGCAAATTCTCCCCATCCCCTTCTGGAAGGCTTTCCTGAGACCTTTCCCACCAGAAGCCCCAAGAGCCCCATATCTCCCTGGCTTTCTCCTGGGAGCTCTGTCACTGTGATTACCCAAGAGCACTGCACTCCTTCTGGGATAGGTGTGGTGACTTCCCAGGCTTTTCCCTCTGGGCTGGTGTGTTCCCACACCCTCTTCCTTAACAGAGTAGGGTGGTACTTAGCTTTTTGTCTCTGTTACATCTTCTATATGCACGCATATTATGAAAATATTTTCGGAGAGATGGTGCAGAGAATACTGTGGAGCTTGTTGTTTGGGTTTTTTCCTGATCCATTTCTCCCCACATTGCATTATTTCCTGTCAAAGTTTTTGTCCTAGGGGGGAAGTACTCTTTAAAAATGTCTTTTAAAAATATCTAAGTCTTTGGGGGTGTTACTGAGCAGCATCTGGATTTATTTGTTTGGTAATCTGCTGAAGTGCTTTGTGAAGCAAAGTCTGAGTCACATGTGATTTATAATGACCAACTTTGTCAGACTGAAGAAATATGAATCCTTGGGTAAATCAAGCAGTGCTGTCTCTGAATTAGGCGCTATGAAATCCTAATGTTTAAATAAAAGGCCTGGTGAGTAATGAGCACTCTATAAAACACGAAAAGGGAATTACAGAAAGACTTTGACTAACGCCGGAGTAACACAGCTATCAGTATTGAGCAAATCAGAAAAAAACCTGGTACAGAAGACTTTGACTAAGGCTGGAGTAACACAGCTATCAGTATTGAGCAAATCAGAAAAAAACCTGGTACAGCTCACTTCCTTTTGATCTGGGGGATCTCAGCCTGGGTGCTAGGAGCTGGGTTAACAAATGTAGCCATACCCTTGTTGTGAAAGCATTGCCCCATAGCCCCGGGCTAAGGACAGCTTTTGCTAACAACCCAGTGAGATTTGGCTGGTGGGAATTGCTCATAGGAGCAGTACAGCAAATCAAGCCTAAACATTTCTAGTGGTTTCCTCGTGTTTTACCACTGAATGCTTCCACAGTTTTCAGATGTAATGTTTGATTTTTCCCAATGAATAACAAAGATATTAATATTAAACAAAATAGAAATAAAAAGGCAGAAACTGACCAAAGCAAACTATTATGTGAAGTCCATCTTTTACTTTCTTTTCTATTACCTTGTTAGAAACTGACTTCTTAAAAGGTCTGTTCAGAGCAGCTAAGCCTCTTGGAAAGTCCAAATGTCTGGATGTGGCACAAGAGCAAAATATTTACTAAAACTCTCACATCGATGAAGGCTTTTCTGGGACACTAATAGTTGTCTGGATGAACAAATGAGTGGTGATCCTTTCTTTGCTGCAGATATTCATTCTGCTGGTACTGTAAAGCACTGAATCCACATAGAGGCTGAAGTTTATTACTTACATACAGGACCCCTTGCTGGCCCTTTGAAGTAGGACCACAGTGGTTTGCACGTTTGCAGTTTCTACTGAATTGTGGCACTTTGTCCATTTTTTGCTGCTGCCTTTCATGTCATGAGGTGGAGACTCAAAGGAGAGACATTCTGAAATATTGTTATGTTCCAGGCTGGACACTCAGGAATAGCAAAAAAACCAATACCTGCCTACCAAAAGTGCTTTGCATCTTGCAAAGTTTAATTCAGCTGCGTTAACAGCTTGTTGTCTGAATAAAAACTAACAAGACCAGTAACTGATAGCAGAAATATGAATTTGATCTGTTGGATAGAGTTGGAGTCTTTAGACTCCAATCAATTCCAAAATAATTATATGCTGTTTTGAATGCAGACAAAAAGTTTGGTGGCTTGGAGGGAATCTGAGTCCTGCCTGCTTCTCAGTTGTTGATTTTCACCGCTGGATATCTTAGTCTGAGAACTGAAAGCAACAGGTAACAAGTAAATATGGAAACACATAATTAACTTGTTTACATTCTGCAATATGATCTCATTGGCTGTCCCTTATCTATTTGTTAGTCATGCTGAGAGCTAAACCAACGAGGAAAGAAAATCACATCCTCACTGGGAGGGTGTTTGCTGCTCTACATAAAGAGCAAAGTCTGGGTTTGACTTTCACTCTTCTGTCCAGGATTCTGTCAGACAGATACCTCAATAGCTCTGTCAGATACCCTGTCAGCCAGGGCTATACACAGCCCGCTCGATGCAAGCAATGGAATCAATAATTCAGCTTCTCCTGTAACAGAAAGCACTTTCCCTCTTTTCCAGTAAGATTGCCTTTGCTTAGAAGTGCATCCCAAGCCCGTACACTTCATTCTCTTTTCCCACGTGGAGGCTGGGGGCTGTGATGCCATACAGGGAGCTGTGCCTGGGCTCCGGGGCTGTCTAGACGGGTTGACTCCGCTCGTGTTGTGAATTAGGGCCAGACAGCAGCGCCGCCGCTTCCGCCCGCAGCCCGTGACTCAGCCCTGGGAGCCTCAGGGAGCGAGAGGAGAGCTCACCTTGGGCAGCCCAAAGGGGCACGGAGCAGCTGCGAGAGAACAGCCCTCTTAAAGGGAGGAAAGCCTTTGGGATGAGGGATGAGTACCCCTGACTCTGGGCCGCTCCTATGGACTGGCTTTGCAATTTCCGACAGCAAGAAGTGCTGCACGGCCAGTCCCTAGGAAGCCAGAATTGATCATTTGGTAAAAAAAAAAAAATCTAGTATCTTAAAGAGAACTTATCCTTCACTGCTTGTGTGATGTTGTAAGGTTATACAGTCCCTAGGAAGCCAAAATTGATAATTTGGTAAAAAGATTATACTATCTTAAAGGTAACTTATCCTTTGCTGCTTGTGTGGTGTTGTAAGGTTATACAGTCCCTAGGAAGCCAAAACTGGTAATTTGGTTAAAAAATTCTAGTATCTTAATGATAACTTATCCTTTGCTACTTGTGTGGTGTTGTAAGGTTATACAGTCCCTAGGAAGCCAAAACTGATAATTTGGTAAAAAAATTCTAGTGTCTTACAGATAACTTATCCTTCACTGCTTGTGTGATTTTGTAAGGTTATGCAACCAAGTAGAGCAAATCAATCCTCCTTTTCCCTAAGTTACTGATCAAAGTACTCGTAAACCACTCTTTTAGTTTATTGCCCTCTTTACTAGAGTTTAGAAACTTATTAACTCATCTGCAGTTTTGCTTTGATCAGGTCTCTAGTACAAAAGCTCTGATCTAAGGTAGTAAATAACAATAAAAGTAATGTGGAGTTTGTGTTTGTTTGGTTGGGTGGTTTCTTTTTAACCTGTTGAGGAGGCAGCAATGTTAGAAAAATTAGCAACAAGTATCATGTATAGGAATTCCCCTTCTTGATAGAATTTTTAAGAGGCTTCCTGAAGAAATTATAATTAATAACAAGAACAAGTGAATGGAACACAGGAGTAGCTGGTGGCTATTTGGGTTTTCCTCTGCTTATTGTAGAAATATTTTTCTTTTGGGATTCCCATTAGACTAAATCAGTCCCTTGGTAAACATGGTATTTTTAACTTTTATCCAGTGCTTGAAACTTCATTATTTGTTCTGTTGCTTTTTATCATGCTCACAATGAGGAAAGCAAAAAGTTTAGACTTTTGGTGTCAATAAACTCCAGTCCTGTTATATATTAAACATTCATATTAAAATATTAATATTAATATTAATTTGCAGAAATTAATATTTTGCATTAATATGAATTATTTGCTCTTTGTAGGTGTTCAGTGTGTTTTCTTTTACCTGAGAGACTGCTATACTCAGCAGATGTTGAACTCTTATATTGGCAGAGGAGGACGAGGCTACAGCCAACTGAGCCAGGATGATAGTGCTAAAGTGTTATTAGTGAGAGATGATACAAGAGCTACAAAGTGCAACTGAAGGGATTGGAGCTGCACGGGGCGGTTCTTCCCCAGGTGGGCAGTGCAGGGGTGCAACAGTAACAGAGATCTCCATCAGGGAGGATTTGCAGGTTCCCTCTTCCCAGCCTTGCACCTGCTGCTCGGCATTCCTGTGGCTGGGGAGAAGCTGGGATCCTGGGATTTAAAATGACTTCATTTAATAGTCTATGTGTTTGAAAATCAGAATTTTCTTCCTCCATGGCTGGGTCCACACTGGCACTCCATTGTTTGCTTAGCAGCTTTCCTGAAAGACTTGTTCAGAAAGGCTTCACCAAGCAGACTTGGTAAGACCTCGCACGGACGTGTCCCCCTCTTCAAATTTCTAGCAGTCCTTCATGGGATGGTACAATGGTTTGGGTTGGAAGGGACCTTAAAGACCATCTCATCCCACCCCCTGCCATGGGCAGGGACACCTTCTCCTATCCCAGGTTACTCCAAGTCCCATCCCTGAACACTTCCAGGGATGGGGCAGCCTCACTTCTCTGAACAACCCGTGCCAGGGCTTTACCACGGTCACAAGAAACAATTTCCTTGACCTTGCTCCAGCCTTTAGCTCGTGCAGAGATAAGAGTGGGATGCCTGGAGCGAGCCCAGGCAGCGGTGCCGGGCTGTGCCGGCCGCTCCCGGCGGAAGAGAGCGGCGGCCCGGGCGCGGAGCGGCCAGGGCCCGCCCCCGGCACCACATGATGCCGCCTCTCCTTCCTGCCGCCCCCGTCCCGGCGAGAAAGGGGAAGTGACTGCGCCGCGCTCCCCGCCCCGCCGCGGGAAACGCGCGGCCCCTCCGCCCCCTCGGCGCGGGGCCGGCGCGTCTCGGCAGAGCCGCGCCCGCGGAGCAGCGCGGCCGGGCCATGGCGCGCCTGGGCGTGATGCTGGTCCTGCTGGGCGCCGCGCTGGCCCCGGGCAGCGCCTTCAACCTGGACGTGGAGCGCCCGGCCGTCTACTCGGGCCCGGCGGGCAGCTACTTCGGCTTCGCCGTGGACTTCTTCGCCCCCGACCCCTTCTCGTAAGTGCGCGCCCCGCCGTGCCCCGCCGAGCCGCTCCCCGCGGCGCTGTCCCGGCGCGGGGCGGAGGATGCGGAGCTGCCCCCGCTCCCTCAGCAGCCGAGCCGGTGCCGGGCGGGCCGGGGCGGCTCTCGGAGGGGACGCGGCTTTGCTCAGGCCCCGGAGCGGGGATGGAGCCGGCGCCGGCCCCCGGCGGTGCCCAGCAGGGACCGCTCCGCATCCCTGCCCCGCCGGGGCGGCTCCGGCGGCCGGGACGCCCTGGCCCGGGAGCCAAAGCCGATCCCGAGCGGCCGGCGGCTCCGGTGGGACGGGAACCTTGTGCTGCGGGATTCTCTGCATAGCCTGGTCCCGTGCAAATGGTGGTGGTGGTAAATACAGTGTGGAAAGATGTAGTTATGGTATTTTGGTTCCTGAAGCTGTGTCCCGTGGCATTTCAGAAGATCTGCTGTTCTCTCTTTGAGTGTGCTTTGCGGGAGTGCTGTGTTTGAGTTGTGGTGAGTCTGTGCGAGTCTCCAAACTGCTGAGGAGTCTAGAGAAGGAAAAGTTCCATGTAAGCACTCTCCACGTCTGCTTCCTGAATATGTTCCCGTTTCACGTTAAAGACTGGGCAGTGTGTAGTCGCTGTTGCGTTTCAGACCTTTGAATCCTAACTGAGTCTCTAACTGCACAGCCTCGGTGTTGCCAGAATGAATCAGGCTCTGGCTCTGAAATGCGGGCTACAGTAATATCCAGCTTTTGTCGCTTTCCCCCCACTCCTCTCCCATCTTAAGGGCTGCAAGATTGGAAAAGCTGCTGGCTTTCATCCTGCTGAAGGGATATTCTCTCTCCCCCGTTAATCTTTAGCTTGTGAAACTTTATAAGCAAATCGTACAGATATTGAGCAAGACTTTCTGCAGTACATCATCTGGCTTTGTTTGCATTTTTTTATTACCTGCATATATTAGAAGCCATCCTGTCTTAACTTGCACATGTTGCACCATCTTTCTCTGCTATCTTAATCCTGTAAGTCTTGGTACTAAAAGAAAAAAAGCTTCTATTTTTGTCCCGCCCTTTATTTTTAAGTCAGCATGTGTGGCTGCAGATTTATCAAGAGACTGGTAAATGGATGTAATAAACTTTCTTCCTTGCTTTCTGATAAGGAATTATGTGACACAGCTCTCCATGAAATCACTATTTGGAACCTTTCCATTATTTTTATAAGAACTATTGACCTCCAAGTGCACTGCTGTTAAAGAAAACAGTGTGGTTGTCAGGCAGCATGAAAAGCTTCTGTATATTTCAAAGGGAATTCTCTGCTTGTTTGGTTTTTTTGGTTTGTTTTTGTTTTTGGTTTTTGTTTTTTTTTGTCATCACTAAATTTTGTTTGTACCTGCTAACCTAAACACTTTATTCTACATTAAAGTTTGTAATTGAACCAAGTAGCTCTGCAGCTTTCACAGGAACAGGCTCTCGTGGTGTTCAATTTTCAGTTTATGCCTATGGATACTGATATTTTGCCTCCTGAAATAGCCAGAAATACTTGTATGCAGTGTCCAGGCTTATGGGGTATCACGTGGTTTCTATGCCTTTCTTTTTGCTTTGATGAGCTTTTATTCATCACCTGTTTTAGAGCTTTTATTCATCACCTGTTTTATACATCAGTACCAGAGATTATTAAGTCAGTCTTGTTGGGCTAAAGCTATTTGGATTGCCCAGCCTGACAACAAAGGCATGCTGTTAGTTCCTGAACACTCAAGCTGCTGTTTCACAGTCTATTTTGACCTGCTGGATGCCAAACTAAAGCATATTTAGAAGTCCAGGGTGAAAATCCCATTCCAGGAGTGGAAGTGGTGGTGTTGTGTCAGGGTGCCTGACAGTGGGCACAGCTTTTATAGGTTTCTCACACACCCCCTGCTTCAGAGGAGCTGCCCTTGATAGTCCAGGATGCACCTCCGTGGAAGCCCCAGTTTCTTTTTTTTCCATGGAAAGCCCTGGAAAGGCACACCAGAGGTGCCAGAACACTCCTAGTGTTGCCCCAGCGTTGGGATGGGGTGGATAGATCAGGAACATGATTCAGGAAATTGGCAGTATCGAAGCATTGCTGGTGTATTCCCATGGAAATACAATTGTCCCTCTATTCCCTCTTTCCCAAAGTATGTGGATTAGAGATTTCTAAGTATTTAGGTAATTTGCATATTATTATAAGAGCTGTGACAAAATCTGCTTGCTTGGTCTCTGATGGTGAAAACGCATTTTTTTATTTGGGGAAAAGACCTTTGTGGAGCCACATAAGGGTTCCTTTATTTGTAATCTTTTTATTAAACTTCATCACAAATATTAGCTTAGAAAAATTTAAAATATATAATTAGAATGGGAATGAATAAATCTTTTAAAGAAGTGCTTCATTTGGGGGACTTCTCAAAAGTCAGTGGTACAGGAGTAAAATGGGAGGTAAACTACCACTTGTTTAATAGATTGCAATTATAATAATTTATATGTTTCTTTACTTGGCATTATAATGTTCATTTTTAAGCATTTCTGTTCTGCCCAGGAGCTGATTTTATGTTGATTAAAGTGTTTCAAATTCCTTTTCTAAAAATCTAGACAGTCTGAGAATGGCAACTAAGGAAAACAAATGGATTGCCAGCTAGCCTGGATTTTCTATCAGGGTCCATGCCAGGACATTTTTAAGGTTCTGAAAATTCACACAGGTTGAAAACTGGTAGGTCTTCATGCAAGGTGCTGCATGTTTATACCTATGCTTATCTCTACTAAAAAGGAGCCTGGAGATGACTCTGAAAACCAGAGCAAGTTTGATAAGCCTGGATTTGCCTGCCTGTAGACATTCTCTCCAACCAGTCCTGCAGCTTGTTCAGCTAATACCCAGTTTCCAAGCTAGAGAACTGTACTGCCTGACAAGACTTGCTCCTGCAGGCTGCATTCCCTCTTAAGCAGTCCAAAGGGAAGAGACAGAGCAGACTGATTCTGATGAAAGGAAGCACTTGATTTTGTCTTCTAAGCATGACTTCACGCTTCACATTGGCTTTCTCAGTCCAGTGCTGATGAGTGAAGTGGGTCTCAGAGGTGCTGGGGCTCCTGGAAGACACCAAGAGCCTTGTTCAGTCTGTTTCTTACTCTGACACTTCTGAATTTTGCCACCTGTGCAGGAACAGTGTGGAGGCAGTTCCTGCTCGGGGTGCACCCAACAAGTGTCTGTAGAAGCAGAGATGCAGAGAGGCACAGCAGATGCTAATGAGAAAATGATGACTGTGCAGTGAGTGTGGGTAAGGATTCATTAACATGCAGATCTGTGGCTCGGAGTGGCTGGCACTTGGAGATTGTTTTCACAAGAGCACTTGCTCAGGCAGGGCTGACTCATCACGGTCAGTACATGCTGAGCTCCCCGAGCGCTGCTGCTTTGTTTATACGTTGTTTCCATTTTTGACTGACTTCCTCGAATTACCCTTACTCACAAAATTAACAGAAATTATGCCACCTGATGGCTTTCATAAGGTACAGAAGTACACAATTTCCTGTTCTGCTGTACACATACATATTTTTGAAAGGAAAAAATAATATAAAAGGTGTTTCTCTCATTTACAATATAATCCTAAAGAGGAGTGGATACTTTAAATTTGTCATATCTTTTTTCTCTCTTTTTTTGGTAAATGGATGGTTGGCTTTTTTTGCAAGCTTTTGCAGACAGAAAAGAGAACCTCATATGAATTTCTCTGTAACTGAGAGTAGTTCGAGTTGGATTTAGATCAGAGAAGGCAAGACTTCTGCTTTATTAACTCTTGAGATGTCATAAAGTTATAACAGCTGTGCCTTAGGTGTTGAAACCTTTGTTTTGCTTCTTCTTTTTCCTGCAGGACATATCTTCTGGTGGGAGCTCCGAAAGCCAACACTACCCAGCACAACATCATAGAGGGAGGGCAGGTGCTCAAATGTAACTGGAACTCCAACAGGAACTGCCAGCCCATTGTGTTTGATGCCACAGGTAACCTGTGGGGCACTGTGGGGGAGATGGGATGTCCCTGCTCTGATGCTGCTGTGGGGAAGCAGAAAGGTTTCAGGGATTTTTTCATGGTCAGTGTGAGTGCGGCTGGTTTTTGACTGGCAGCTAGTCAAGGTTTGCTTGTGCTCTCCTTTTCCTCTCCTCTCTTTTAGAGTTGTTGTCGCTGGTGTGTGCTGAAAGCCTGAGTGAGCAAACATTATTCTTCTTGTGTTTTAACCTATTTATATTTCTCCTCTGTACTTTTCAGCAATCCTAAAACATTTGGCAGCCTAATTCCCAATGGACCCCGAGGGGTTTTCTTCCTATTAAGATCGTGTCATATGAGGAAAGATACTTTTCAATATCAGCAAAGGTGGTTTAGGCAGAAATACCCAGAAGTTTCATCTGAAACCAGGAATGTGACTGAAAAACTGTAGAAAAATGTCTTTTTAAATTTTTCCCCCTCAGATATAACTCCACAGTGTTTGTGGCTTCTATGATAGCAGCACGCAGGTCGCAGGCATTCCTTACCCATTGCTGAAGCACAGGAGAGCTGAGCAGCAGCAGTGTGGGCATGAAATATTTCAGTCATTCTTCATGCTCTGGTGCACACAGTGATTTCCACAGGCTGTGGCAGGTCATGAGAATGCACTGCATGTGCTTTTCTGCTCCAGCCACTCCGTGCTGCATCCTGTTTTCCACAGCATGTTTCAGGGCAGCGGAAAAACTTCCCCGTGGCATGGGAGGGGATTAGCAAGACCCATGTGGTAAGGCAGAGGAAACACCTGTGCCTTGAAGGTCTGGTTGCTTGTAATTCATTCTTGCTTCTGCCAGTATTTTGACTTGGCCCCCTAAAAGTTGCTAGATTGATGCAGCTTTTAAAATCATGTGCAGTAGAGTGGAGAAGCCCTTCTTCCAATTTCACTGTCAAGGTATGCCACAAAATCTTGTTGGTGCTCAGATTTCTGATATCTTCATCTCTTTTTGTGAAAACCACTATGTCACCAGTTTCTTTGCAAAAAACAAAAAGGAAAAAAGTATGCAATGACACCCACAAACCTCAAATCATTATCATTCCTTCATTCATTTATCATTCTCTCATATCATTCTATAGGAGCATATCTGTCAGATTACTAAAAATCTCCAATAAGCTGCAAAGTCTGAATTTTTTTTCTGCATCAATGTCAAGGCAGCAAAACCAGATTATAACTGTCTTCTTTTTGTTGCTGTTCTTTGGGCTTATTGTTTACTAGAATACAAGTGTGCTTTTTGTTAGTTTGGGTACTTTTAAGAAAGAATCTTGGTGTTCCTAGTTAATAATCATCATTAGTATCATAGCCAAAAACTTCTGGTGGGGTAAGATGAGCCACACTTGTAGGTTCTAGACACATCTTCCAATGGGAATTACGGTGCATTTATGAGTTTATAGTGAACATTTGCAGTAGGCTTTTCCATGTGCCAGATGGATTTGATAGAGGCCACACTGCTTTCCTGCTTGTCTCTGCTTAAGGGACATGCCCCTGGGCAAACAGAGTGTTTTGCTCCTCATTTGCCTTTAAGGAACAGGCATGTTAATTGCTTGAAATTTAACAGTAAAAATAGCAGGTCATAAGGGCTTAAGAGGATTTCTTTCAAGCATGCTTTAACTCACTGCAGCTTTGAGGCAATGAATGGGAGAATAATACATTTGTCAATAATTATCCTGGTGAAAAAGGGGCATTGTATTTCAGCTTGATAAAATAATAAATGCCCTGAGACAAAAAAGAAAATGTCTTTTTCTTTGTGCATAACACAATGCTCGGTTCCCTGTGTTCTGGTGACAGAGTCAGTGCCAGCACTGGGAGCTGCTGCTCCTGCCTGCCCCTGCCTCGTTAGGGACCAGGGCTTAGGGAAGGCTCCTGAGCCACTTTGGGAAACAGGAAGTGGAAGATCTGACCACTAACTTCTGGTGCTGATGCAAAGGGCCTTTTTGTAGATGACTAAGTGCAGCCTCTGCAGGAATCCAGGCTCATCCATCGCTGCTCATCATTTGTGCAATACCATCTGTAACTCCAGAGGTATTATGCTTAGCCCTGCCATACAAGGCAGATTTTTTATTCCCTCCCAGATTCACTGGAAAAACCAAGTTCTGCATCATTACTTAGATGTGTTTCTTCAGAGTTATTTTCTAATTGCTTACAGCCAGTGAGAAATCTGACCTGTGAAAATAATGAGAATGCTTGTACTTGTGGCTTTCCTCTGTTTGCCTGACGATGCCAAACTCTGTATGTGGAGCTGGATGCCCTGTAATTAACAGGAGTCATGACCCTTTTCCTGCTCCTGCTCCCTTCTGCCAGGTAGCACAGCTGGAAATGCCAGAGCAGGCTAAAGTGGCAAAGGAATGGAGGAAAAAACAAGCCTTGTTCTGACTGTGTAGGGTTGTGTTTGTCCCTTTGTCTTGTATCACAAATAAATATGAGACTAGGCTTTTACAGAGGTCCAGCGAGCAAGGTTTTTTCCTCTATATGTTGTTCTATTACTATTAATTAGGACAATTTCTTCTTAAACAATCCTTTTTTTTTTTTTTATTTAAGTTTTTCTGCAGCTTTATGTGTCCATTTCTCTTCCCCATCTGTACAATGACCATGCTGAGCTGGCTGGACAGGGCTGGATTTTATTTTCTAGCTCTTGTTCTTGGCTTTAACATTGCATTTGCATGGCAGCGTGGTCATTTATGTGATCAAATGCCACAGCTCTTCTGTAGCCTAGGAGGGAAGGTACCAGCTGCTGAAGGATAACCTTTGGAAGAGTTGTTCCAGCCTTGAAGTTCAGCAGCATTGCTTGCTTACTTGCACTTACCCTGACCCCAGCTGCCCTGGAGGAAGGCGATAAGTCACAGAGCTGATAGTTCCTGTGCTGCAGAATTTACTACTTTGTGTATTCCTTCCTGTGGGTGACAGCTCAGCTCTCTCAGGATGGGAGTTGGGCAGTAGGAGAACATTTGTGCAATGTCATTTATGTAGCTCTCATGCTGAAATTACATGTATTTCCCTCTTCTTCATGCCCTTCCCATCAGCCTGTAACATAAAACCAAAATCAAACAAAAGCAGTTATTATAATTTTTAAACCTCTGGCTAAAAAAGCTAAGTTCTTTCTTATATTTTCTCATTTAAAGCAGCAATCTATTTCATGCAATCACAGAATGGTTTGGGTTGAAAGGGACCTTGAAGATGATCTAGTTCCCACCCCCTGCCATGGGCAGGGAGAATTTGTGGAAGGGAATCTCCCCTTGTCCTGGATCTCTCAGCACAGTGGTTATACTCACTGAAAATTCACTGCAGAATATTCTGTCTGTGTGTGTCTGCGTGTTTCTGTGCACATTACAATAATTGCTTTTGACATTCTGGTATATATGGTGGCTTTGGAAGGCAAAATGTTTATATGGCACATTAACACTTCCCAAATGTAAAGATGCTTTGCTGTGGGGCTGCTCAGCCTTTTAGCAGTGACATCAGTTGCCTTTGATTTAACACAGTTGTGACTATGTGAAAGTGGCATGACAGACGTGTGTGGTAGAGTCTGCCCTGAAGTTCAGGGTGCACATGGCTGTGCTGCATGTGCTTGTGTCACTGGGCTAGAAATTGAATACTTTTTTTTAAAAAAAAGACTTTCTAATGTCATTAGGCAAGTGTTTCAGGCTGACTTCTGCTCTTAGGAGCACATCAAGCTAGTAGGTTAAGAAAAACCCAAGCATCACAGCAAGCTTCCTAACCTGCACAGCTCTGCTGGTCCTATTGCAAAACTGAAATATGAAGCAGTGCTGCTGTTAGTTTAACAGGTTATCCTGCAAGTCTAGATAGGAACAGGTCTGATTTTAATACTTTTTAACCCTGTTCTTTTTTACCTTGTTAATTCAGCAGTGAACCTGCCTCTGTCACAAAACTAAAAATTTCTGGCATTGATTTTCTTCTATATCTTGTCTTCTTTCTACAAGTGACAAAGCATGACCACATTTTCAATTCAATTGCTACGTAAAATACTTGGAATTTTTCCCCTCTGTCCCAGTTAACTTTCAGAATGTGTAGGAGGCCCTATTTTACCAGGAAAAGCACTGAAGGGAAATTTATATTCTCAAGATAGCATATTCTTCAATATTTTAATGAACACAAGCAATGATAATAAATTCTTTCCCCTCTGAAAGATGTTTTACATTCAAATTAACTAAAATCTCAGGTTGTAGCTCAAGGTAAATATTGATCTCCATTCATTCTTATCTGTTCTCCACAGTGGATAATGTTGTGACAAAAAATTTAGTTAACTTTTGTTTAAATCCATCAAAATAGGGGAATGCTCTGAATTTTGTGAAGAAGAAAGTATGTGGGAAAGCAAATAGTGGAAAAACTGCTTTTACACCTGGCTGAGCCCTTTCTACCAGACTGACCAGAGACGTGGTCAGTCTCTCTTAGAGAGCTTAACACTTGGCTTTCTCTGCCAGCTGCTTAGCAGCTTTTTCCAGGAAAAATGTATTTCTTGTGGGTAAACCCTGAAGGGAATGCATTTAGTACAGCAGCCCATTTTCTGTTTCTGATCAGTTCTGAGGCCAAGGTCCAAACCCATTTGTTTTAATGATGTATCAGTCTCCCTCTCGTTTTTTCATCTCCACAGCCTTCACAGACTGGCACAGCAAATTTTTTGTGGACAGTACCACATATTGCCAACAGTGTTTTCATAATCTTCCTCAGGAAAAAGATCCCTGCAAAGTTAAAGGGTATTCCACAAGTTAAATTTATTTTGTGTAGTTCTCCATTTTCTGTGTGTAAAATTAAACATATTTTTTTTCTGTGCAGCAGGAGGCTCAGAAGTTCACTGAGCCAGACAACAAAACCAGTGAGGAAAGGGGTGGCCAAATGTGCTTTTCAGGAAAATCAACACATCATCTTTATGTTTTTACTTCTGTGTTTTACATTTAGGCATGCATGGAATGGCAGGATTAATACACTTAGCTAACTGTCTAGATAAGTACC